CCGTGCCGCAGTACCCCGTCTTCGCTGTTGGCGAGAAGGTGGCGAATCACCTCTTCTCTCTCCAAAACGTTGAAATTCTTGCGTTTCGTCCCTTGAGAGGCACTCCCAGCAGCGGACATGGCTCAACAGCAGTTGGGAAGGTGTTTGACCGGAGCTACAAAGTTGGGGTGGTGAGATCGGGCGCGGTCTGCTGCTGTGGGCTGCACCTTGCTGGTGTGTGTTCAGAAAGACCCCGGTTCTGCGCGCCACCTGCGCGCTGCGCAGCAGTGCGGTGGAACCAACAAAAAAAACGGTTCGGGAAAAGAGTTCTGCAGGCCCGAGTTAGACCGCTTTTTGTCCAAACCGCCCTTATATTTAGAATCGGAGGAAGTATATAAGTTCGAGTGTAGTTATACCTCGAACGGGTAGTCTTTCTGTGTGTATATTCGTTTCTCCTAGTCTAAGTATATAACAAAATCCCCCAATCCCCTCCTCATTTTTCAAGATAAACGATGCGGCGCATCCTGTTCCACCGCAAACATCGCCAACGCAAGCCTTGGGACACTCTTAGCTCACTGCGATGTCTCCTGAGGCCCGATGAGGCCCCATGGTACGTTCGTTCCCTGCTATCCAACCTACGCCAATTCACTGGTGGTATAATTGTTCCGAAAAGTCTATCCGGTTTGTCTTCGTCTGCAGGCCGATCTTTACTTCCACGACAGACGCACCCCCGAAACAGAGGCAAGTGCGTCGTGCACAACGCTGTAGGCCAACGGCGGCCAAACGTACACATCGTAGCAGGCGTCGGAAGAAATTGTAGAGGCCGTTGCTCGCTGCTAGCAGCGTAAGCGAGGAAAGCCAGTGCACACCTATGCACACCAGCAGTGCTGCTACATGATGGATGATGATGATTTAGTCTAGAGCAGTCAACACCAAACAGCGCTCTCATTCATCTCCGGATTGCTTGGCAGCAGACGTCTGACTGACTGGTGGTGTCGGGTGAGGTGTGAGCGTGTGCATTGGTGGCCTCTGTGATGCCGTGGGCTCCGTCCATATCTACCTACGCTTGCTTTGATGTCTCTCCCCATCGTACTGTAGCTTGGTTGGGATCAGAGATTTCAGCCGCCGCGAAAAAGAGAGAAACGCAGACACACAAAATGGTGTCAAAAGGATGCAGGTGTGGGCAGAAGCAAGACAAAATGCTTGGTTTGGCACTGGTGTGGTCTCGATTGAAATTCCTTCTACAGGATCCCCGAGGCAAAGGTAGCGCGGAGGCACCGCCGCGAGTTCGTGCTCGTAGCTTTCGCGAGCTGAGAGAAATCGGCCGCGTTCAAAATATCGCTGTCAGTACACCGGTCGGCGCCATATTTCTCACGTGTTGTAATCTACAACTATGTTTTGCAGTTTTTTTCCGTACCGAAAACCAATCCTTTTACTTACCACCTTAGCCGTGGAAAGCTTTGGCCGCCTTGGAGAGGAGGGTTACGAGTTCATCGATGAACTTGCGACACATGCCGTGGGACGAAGGGACGGAGGAACGATGGCTCTGAAAGGAGTCTTCAAGGAACGACTTCTTCAGATAGATCGTTTCGGTGGCTACACAGGTGGCCATATCTCGGCGAGTGCAGAGGTACAAGCTCGCATTGCGCGGGCGTCAAGACGCCGAAAACAGGCGAACAAGATCGACCTCGGACCAGTCAACGCCAATGATATGGGGATGGAGTGTAGACGCATCGTAGAACGCGTTTGTTTTCGTTTGAAGTTGGCGTCTTGTTTGAGAGTAGATGTGACAGATTTGCGTAGAATAGGGTAAGAAGATGTTATCATGAACGGAGATGAAAGGGCTTTTCCAACACGGAGATGTAGCATGGATCAAAGCATTTGTTGGATTTCAGCTTTTACAAGCGGACATCAACGCAGTAGTATTTTAGCAAGCTTACGAACGCATATAGGATACCATCAGGATTGTCATTGGTAAGTTGAAGAGGAGATACTTTTACGATGTAAATGACAGTAGAAATAAGTCCTACATATGTTGTTGTACTTCGTATTGGTTTAATATTCATGTAGAGTATGAGACACTAAGTGAAAGTTTTCTGAGGTACATCTGCAATTGTCGGAAGGCAAAAATAAATAAAATTGTGTTTGGGTAGGATTGTTTTTCTTGATTTTTGGGGACGCCGTATATTGATCATGTATTCGCCAGAATCGCCGGAAATTGGTTGCTCTCCGGGGCACCTCATACCTGCAGCGTTTTGCACTTGGATTTCTCGGCACTCGGAACCACCACAGTACAGGCCGCATTTTGACGGTCCGTCCTGTCCGCTGTGACCGTGCATAATCGAGTGCTCCCCCGTCTGTGTCAGTCGCTACTCCGTGCTTCGGCTGGCGCTGTTGCACTCACTGTTCTCACTTTGCAACTCTTTCTTCGTTGTTTGCACGCACGCATCGATCCAGGAACACAGCAGGCATCCCCGCGCGAAGGTATTGTCTACACACGAGAAGTAATTTGAAATATGTCTCGCGCCTTGCTTGCATCCCTACGTAAGAGGTTCCTGCCGCATGTGTAGGGGAGGCGTGAGCCATTCTGGCAACCATGCTGTACCTTGTCCAAGGGTGCCCAATACTCACAGGGCCCCACTATGGAGTGCAAAGGGTACGGATACCAGTACTGATGTTCGCCAGGAAGTATGCCTGTGACACTAAACTATGTTATGGAGGGAAAAGGAATGAAAGGGAACGGAGCAGGTCCGCTGCTCCTTGCATGGTCACAGTTGTTGTATTTCATGTTTCATCCTCTTCATACCCAGCCCGCGTTTCGTGAGTCGAGAGTGAGGACGGGGGTTGGAATCCTAGTCACAACAACCAACGAAGAATCATGTTATGCTCATTCAATGCTCATACAACGCTCACACAGCGCCGCCAGAGTAGTTCCATTACAACGACGTATACATGACTACGAATTGTCGATTGCGCTCAAAAGAACAACCTAACAAGCCACGAGACGTGAATACTAGGAAGCACACCCGTGCTCACAACCACAATTTGGCATCACCTTGAACGGCACCGTTCACGGTGGTAGCGACACTCGCACGTGCGCTCGGTGGAAAAAGTTATGCCCGCACACACCGACCGTTGGTCCGTCGCCCGGTGTATACCTCATGAATAGTTAGCACTTCTACATACATGCAGAAACCGCTGCGGAAATGTGTTCGTGCAGCCGGAGGCACAGCTCCCGAAAAAAGATATTTGCAAGGACTTGTTCACGGCAGCCCTCCTTCGGGCCCGAAGCTGACTGTGAAACGGGCACGCCCTTCAACACCGACAGTAACGACAACTGCCTGTTGAATGCGATAGGCGCAGCTTGGACTGCTTGTTCTGGAATTTTTGCTAAACAAGTCCAATTATACGTAATGCGACTAAAACGCGGCACCAAATCCAAAGGCAAGCGCCTTAACTACCGCCCTCACGGTGTTCGCAATTCGCGAGACCCTAGCGTCACGCCCAGCCTCTTGTAGCTCATGCTCGAAGCGAGATTAGCTTCATGCTCGACCACACGTCTAGCCTCCTTCCTCTTGTGAATAATCAATATAGACAGCAGTAGAAATATCCCGACGACCAGCAGCTGGAAAACAAACGTCCAGGAGGTCCTCCATCCCATGTCCTGAAAACAACGAAATTGAACCGAAGAATCCATGTAAACACGGACACGCAAACAAGATGTAACTTAATAATACCCAAGCCCTAGCTTCCCCTACCTAGAAGCGCTTTCACCCAAAAGGGCATTGCTAGATATACTCGCAGCAGTATCTGGTAGTGAGGATCCAAGGGGGATGCGTGTTGGGAATATTGTGCGTTGTAAGGAACCACCGGTGCAGTCACGGGGACCCTTTCGGCGCGGTTGGAACGATGAGGCTTGCGTGCGTGTTGCGCACACTTTCTTCCTTCTCTCCTTCCACCGCTACCGCCGTCTCTCTCCAATCAAGTTTCCTTCTCCCACTCTCTCTCCAAGTTTCTCTCAACCTCTCACTCTCGGCCTAACACGGTCGACTACCCAATGCCCCAAGTAACGCCAAGCTTGCTGCACCCCGCGAACTTTACCTTTCAGGCATGTAGACAGACGCGGCGCACTTCCGCTGTTAACCCGTGGCATAATCGCCCCGCGATTCGACGTTGGAGATCGGCTTTTGGGGGACATTCATTGTAGGTCAGACAAGATTATCGCCAAATGCTTTATTTCGTCGGTCCTATTACAACTACTGTTTTGAAAAGCTGCGCAAATATCAATCCCCCGCCCCCTCACTTTCAAGCACAAAATGTTCAAAATAGTCCTGTGGTATACTGCTGTGGTATCGGATCCACAACACGGCGCTAAAAGGACTAGACAACTGCCATCCTTCGCAGATCAAGCAGGTGAAAATGGGGACATAAAATGTCCCCCAAATATTTGGTTCCTGTCGGTTGCTGTACTGAAAAGTTGCCAGTTCCATGTGGATGTGCACCGCAAATTACTAGCTCTCTAATGACTCCATGCGCCAGAAACCGAGGAGCAAAAAGTGAACGAACAAGCAACCCGGTACATTGATATGTGTGCCGTCTACTCTACGCCTGCCTACACAGCAGTCTACAAAATAAGTACAGACCGACGCGCTTGGCCAATTTCGCGCGGTGCATGCTTGTAATCGAATGAACCTGCACCCTTTGAGGATGGACATACCCGTTCGGCATCGGTTTAAAACACGCCTGAACGAAAAACCTACCATTCCCAAACCAGGGGGGGCGGGGGGGGTGCAAAAAGTTGAAGGCGCAACCGCATTGCTTACAGTCAAGCACTTCTCGTTCTCGAGAGTAACGCAAGGCTAACAAGGCTACCATAAGCATGTCAAGACTACCCAGAAGAAAACCAAACAAGCACCACATATTCTTGCCATCCTGGTTCTGCACATGCCTCGAGTCCTAAGCCGTCCTGGATTTTCAAACACCTATAATAGCTCGCGCGCTGTGAGTGCAAGGACCTTACGCACAAACGCGACGAGACACGCATGCATACGTACGTACAGAGACGGCGTTGGAGGGAAGGCGGGGGGGGGAAGAACGTAACCAGAGAGCCACAAACACGACATATTAGCGCCCACGAAACTCCAATCTATCGCCGTCTCGATCGTTTGTTGCTGCCACCTCGCTCCCGGCTCTCCCCGCGATCCCTGCTCCTGCTCCTCCTGCTGGATCTCTCCGCACGCTCACCCTCCTTGCGAACGTCCTTCGAGCTCCTCCTGCCGCTGGTCTCACGATCACCCCTCGGCTTCTCGCGAACCCTCTCTCGGCTGCCCCCCCCCACCCTGCCGTCCCGCTCCCTCCTGCTACTGCTCTCCGGCTTTCGAGAAGACGCAGCCGAGCTCCTGCTGCTGGTCTTGTCTCTGTCTCCCCTCTCGCTACGGTCACTCCGTTTCCGGTCTGTACCATCTCCGGCCCGCGATGACCGATCCCGGTCGCTTCTGCTTGGTCCGCCGCTGGCCGTGCGCTCACCGCCGCCGCTGGGCCGGCTTCGACTGCTGCTCCGGCTTCTGCCCCGTCGTTCATCCCTTCGATCTTCTCGACGAGAACCCACCTCCTTGTCCCTACCGCTCTTGCGGTGGCTCTCCCCGCGCCGGCGCTCCCTCTCCCTCCCTTCTCCACCGCCGTCTTCGGCTCTTGGTCCCCGGCTACGCGTGCTGTCCCTGGAATGCGGCCTGTCTTTCCTGCTGCTTCTACCGTTGGCACCAGCGGCCCGCGATGAACGGTCACACCGGTCTGGCGTGCCGCCACTAGATGAACTATTGCGGGCGGCGGGCTTCGCCGTCTCACTGCTGCCGGTAGCTTCGTCATCCCGCCCACGGCCCTCGTCCTCATCGCCACTGCTGCTGGTGTAGTCCAGGTCAGACAGGCCGTCCGCCGAGGAGTGGTCGTCAGTTCCACCGCAATCCCCATCCCCACCACCACCACCACCACCACCCGCCGACACCGCTCCCGGGGCCGGTTCAGTCGACGCGACGGCAGCGGCACTCTCATGCTGCTGCTCCGACGAGTGCTCCAAGACGGCGAGCTTGTAGTGACCCGACATGAGCCGCATCCGCTTCAGGCGGTTCGCTCGCCTAGTTTCTTCGTCGTCAGCACGACCCCCCTCCGCAGCACTTGACGGTGCCCCCACACCCTCTGGTTCAGGCTGACTCGCGGCGCAAACTTTTCCCTCCGCGGATAAACGTCCACGGCTGCCGCTGGCGGAGCCAGGGGTTGGGTCACCTTCGCCCTTCTTGTCTCCGTCCGCCGCCTGCCGACCATCGCCTGCTTTACCCCGTTTATCTTTAACCGTGGACAGCGCCATCCTGAGCTTGTCCCCTTGCTTTTCCCGGAGGTTCCCCGCGGCGCTGGAAGCGTCGACCGGCGCCGCCGCGGTTGACGCAGCGTTGTTCCCATCCGCGCTGTTGCCGTTCGAGCCTCCACTTTCGTCTTGCGGTCGCCGTCGTTTCGTCCCGGCGGTCAACGAGCCAGAAGCAGCGGAGCCATTCTCCTGGGAAGCCGGTGCACCGGGCTTGGCGGATTCTCCTTCCGTACCTCCACCGACCGCGATGCCGCAAGGCGTACCGGCCACGGAAGCAGCTGTGCTTGATGCTGTGTCACTTGAGGAAGGGCGTTGGCTAGCGCTTGAGCCGGGCACGGCGCCAGCTGCGCGCCCAACGTCGGAGTTACTCGATCCTCCGGTTGCCGGCGCGCCACCCGTGTTGCCTTGCCCAGGGGCGGGCTGAACAGGCTCACCTTTCGCCAGCGCTAGCTGTCTCTTGTAGTAGGCGTGGAACTTGTTCGCCGGGTTGAGGAAGTCGAACGTAGGGTTCGATGCTTCCCTGGCTCGTAACAACAGAGGAGGCGGGGGAGTGAGCCAGAGGGCGGGAGGAGGGTTAGACGAGGGCGTCGGAGTCTGCTGCTGCACGAATAAGGTCAAGGGAGTGGTTTCAACACTACGAGGCGCATGACCGATCTTGTACACTTTGCTGACTAGCTACATAGTCTAGGAGATATCGCAACACTCGTCCCCCCACAGGTATTGGAGCCTTCCGTGGCGTGAATCCTGTAGCACGCTCACTTCGCGAGAGCGAACATGAGGTACAAGTACTCGCAGCACTCGCTCAGCTGGCAAAAACGCCATGTGGTGTTCGAGGTCATCACCCACTCACACTTCGGCTCGAGTTGAAAGAGTGGATTTCTCAGTCGCTCGTCGTGAAGGCATCGCAACAACTTGATGGCATCAAACGACGCGAAGGTATCGAAAAAACTCGACGGCATCGGACCACGCGTTCCGTATGCTAGCAAATATAACGACCACACTCAACAAGGTTAATGTAACGCCGCTCGCCCCGCAGAAGAGTCCACCATTAGCCCTCACCTTTTCTTGACACGGTCCTCGAACGCCTGGCCGTTCTTGGCGACGTAGCCCACCATCTTCTCCACCACCTGTCGCTTCTCTTCCCCTGGCACCGCCGGGGACAACACCGCGGCTTCCCCAACCGAACCCCCCACCCCCCCAAAGGTCACTCCCGCAGCCAGAGGCAACGATATCCCTGCGGCGGGAGCGGCGGTGGCGGCGGCGGCGGTGGAGGCGGCGGCGGTGGAGGCGTTATCCTCCTCGTCATCGGAGGATTCATACGCGCCGCCCAGCAGATTGGGAGCGCCCGCGTCGTCCGAATTTTCGGCGTCCGGCGGTGGTGATGGCGGAGGGGAAGGAGGAGGAGGCGGCGGCGGCGCTTCCTTGGCAGCTGCAGCGGTAGAACCGGCGACCGACCGTGATTGCCGTCGTGGCGACAACGGGAACAAGTGCCGCGCAAGACGAGGGGTTCGGCAGACAAGAGAAGGGCGGGGGGTAGCGACGAATGCGAGCGGACGAGGGCAGGGGGCGGGGGGTCGTCAGCGTCGTCGATGAAAACACGGCCGAGTCGGTGTGCAAGCGGGAAAAGTGCAGCAGCACGGCTCACCGACGTGGCTCCATTCCTCCATCCAGACACACCAATATACAAGTATGAGAGCCAACGGCCCGCAACGGTCAGGTCAAGTCAGCGCGCGGAGCTGCAATGGCGGACCATTCAACGACCGTCCGCCCGCGCACCACGGAGAGCCATTGGAGGAAGAGCCGCAGTGGCCGGTGAGATAGGGTCAGCGCGTAAAACTCATCTGTCTCCGCCAGGTCTGGCATTCCCGAAAAACAATCAATCCTGTTGTAACACCCACCTGATTGTGATCGCAGCAGTCAGTCAAACGTCGCGTGTTCAACTGACTGCCAACGCCTTCGTTCCTCCAACCTCTCCCGAGCCTTACCTGCGCCCAAGCTCAACCCCGCGATAAATTTCAGGTCTCTCAACGGAGGCCACAACATTCGGAACCATCTTTCCGTGGCGTAGGGAGGGATGTCCACAATCTCAACCCTAACCCTGACCAAGAGAGCGTTCAATCCCAAACGCGACATAAAACGGTCTCCGGACTCTCCCTCGGTATCGAAAACAATTGGAGGCTACTTTGTAGTCGTGGGGTAGAAGAGATGGATGATTCGAGGGAGCTTGATGCCCCGTGCATATCGCGCTCTATGCATGTCGCCACACACAAGAGAGAGAGGGAAAAAAATGGCCGCGATCTATGGCCGCCGTCCATTCGCCTCCCGTCAAAAGAGTAGCCTCTTCTGAACGGAAAACCCCCGTTCTGGCCACATGTTGCACAAAACAGGAACGATTCCCGAACTAGTCCGCGCGATGCCATACGCCAGCAGCAGAAGAAGTCCCGGCGATTCCAACGATCTGCTCTTATGGGGGGAGAGCATCCTCTCGCCTCCAGAGCTATCGGAGAGTCCTCATCTTTTTCTCAGCAGATGGCGAGGTTGGCTAGTGCTCCTCCAGACAGAGCACACGGTATTTTCCAGACTCCTCCCGAAGGATGCTTATCTCAGCGGTTCCGTTTCCATCGCCTGCTCTCCATCCTTGATCGTTGCTCAGGCGTAAAAAACACACATGCAGATGGCAGATGGCGGGGGGGAGACAGGGGGCAGCGGGGGGGAGGGGGGGGGGTCCATGCCGCACGGCATACACCATACACCATCCGTACAGCGCAGCACGACCGACGCACACACACACACACACACCTCAAGCAAGGCTTGTCTGGAAACACAATCGACAGAGGCCTCTCGAGACCAGCTGGCCGTGGAAGCAAAAACATGTACCTAAGCATACGTGCTGCAGCCAAGGAGCCGTGATCAAACAATCACACGCAGCGCAGTGAACATCCGATGTTCGTGGCAAACGCCCCTCCCCGCCCGTCACGCCGACGTTTTTGAATGATCGGCTACGCATCCGGTCGGCCAACAACAAATCGCACTTCACGCGCCGACTTTCCCGTTGAAATACCGGACAACACACCCACACCACGCCCGCCTGGACCACCATCACAACTCCGTCGAGAACCGAACGGTCGAGGCACGCCCGGGGGGATCGATCGCCCGGACTATTAGGTCGAAACACCAACCAATCAAAACAGCCACGGACCTTTGGCAGCCGCTGCTTCTCGCTCTTTCCTCTGCTGGTCCTGCCTCTGCCGGGCCTCGGCGCGCTCTGCCTGCAGCCGCTGCTGCCGGGCGTACTCCGCGGCGAGGGCGCTCTCCCCCCAAGACTTGAGGAAGAGGTAGTAGGGGTGTGCGGGGTCCTCGTGCGACAGGAAGGAAAAGGCCTCGTTGGCCTGCTGCTTGAGCCGAAGGAGTACTTCCAGCTGGTGAGCGTCCGAATCGCGGGACAGGAGGGTTAAGCAGTTCAGGGTACATGATGGTGTCATGCAAAACAACAAAGAAGACTCTGCTGTCGGAGATAATGGTGCCCCGTTCGAAGGGGATGGGAGGTCTAAGTCATTACAGTCAATGAGTTTTGAGGAATCATTGGCTGGACACATACTGCACCTGGTTGAGCCTGATGAAAGAGAGCCTACACTATGGACTGAGACATCGGTGACACCAGCCGGAACCAAAAAATTTTGTCAAAAATGATGGCGTGGGGACGGGGATGGATTTCCAGCACAATATTTCAATATCACGCCAAGCTAAGAGGCTAAGAGGCTAAGAGGCTAAGAGGCTAAGAGGTCAGCCGACACGACGACATAAACACCGCCAGTGGGCAAGCGGCCCGAAGCAATATCAACCGAACCTCGGGACGTACGTCAATGCTGATTTTGCCTGAACTCTTATTGGTGAGGATTAACATGAAAATGAACCTGGCTTGTCTTGTTTTGGCAACAAAACCATTGTCATGGCAACCAAAAATATTACCGCCGTTATGCAACCGCAGCAGTGACGCCAGACCCCCAGCCATGCACTCAACAAACGAAAAACACGCCACACAAGAAGCAGCTTCTCTCCGTGCAAAGCAGAATAACGCCGTGCCCTCTGTAAACTGTACCTGAGGAGAACGAACAGCCGTCCTCGCAGTCCCGACCATCATCATGTGCTGCCGGAACGTAGCCGGCGCCACCAGCCCCTCCGGGATGCCAAAGTCCGCGACAAACTCCTCAAACTGCTCCCCCCCCGCACCCTTCATGGGCTCGCTCCCTCCACCCCCGGCACCATCACCCGCTGCTGCTGCTGGCGGCGGGTCAGCGTCTGCGGAAGGTGGCGGGGGTTGGGTCGTTGCCCAGGCACCTCGCCCGGCGTTCGCCGACGTCGGTGGGGGGCTGGCGGTTCTGCCGTAGTAGCCGTAAACCTCCGGCTCCTGACATTATCGACAAATCGGACAGCGAGGTCAAGGTGGGCGGTCAAGATATATGTGGAACAACAGAAGTGTGGGGTGTGGGGGCGTGTGGGATGGGCTTAGGGGGGCAGTGTGGTGATTGGTGAGCCATGTCTATCAGATGATAGGGTGGCGTCCCGGAATTCCCTTCGTGTGTGCGGTGGTCTGGGCACCGCCGTTTGCTTGACAACAAACAAGAAGCGCGATCAGGAACAACAAAACAACACTTGCATTACAGCGCGAAGAACCGGCTACAGCCAACGAAACAACAGCAACAGGCTGTGCTGTAGCAGTAGTCATACGTAATCTGAAAGCTCTACGGTGAAAGCGGAAGATGCGTTGCGGGGTGCCTCACCTCCTCTTCCTCATCCCCGAGGCCCCCGCGACTACCGCCGTGTGCATAACTTCCCGTGGGAGCAAACTGTCCAAGCCCCTCCACCACTAAAGAATGATCCCCGCTGGGAAGGCCGTCGTACCGCAGCCCATCCGCCTTACGCTCCTGCAACGTTGGGGGGGGTCGGACACAAACAACGCCGAAAACAACAACGGAACGTCAAGGGAGATAAGGGCCAATGCGGCGGGAGGGGGTCTATTGCATACCAAACTTGGCGTTGCACAGTAAAACCCAACACTCGTGTGATGCTTCTACGTAGTCAACATCAACTGGGGTAGAGAAAGCTGACAACAATGCTGCCCGTGCTTCGCAAACACCGTACTGTACCACAAAGTAACCGTACCGTATCAGGCAAACACCGTACCGTACACGAGATATTTACCCGGATCACAATGCCAACAATCAATAGTACAGACGCGGGATGGAGACCAGGCTCAGGCGGAGGAAGGGAAGACTGGGATTTCTGCCTCGCAATCATCGCCATTACAGCAGTCGCAAGAAACGTGGGGTGTTGATGTCGCCAGACACGATCCGAGTCCCGGTCAACAAAAAGGCGGCGAAGCCGCCGGGCTGCCTCCTCTACGCTCCAAGGCTGCACGCACGCCATACCTCAAGGCGTACGTAGACGGATGGATACATTTACATCACACCAATGTTTGTGACGAACAAAAATAGAGAGAAAAAAAGAGTACGCACATGCATACGGCAAAAAACGACAAGAAAAGGTTATGCATTCAAACGGTTGGCACACCTCGGCCGCCAGCTTTGCGGGAAGGGCGAACCCTGTACCCTTGCTGAAGTCAGACAGGTCCAGCATCCACCGTGCGTCGAAACGGTCGAGCATCAGAGGTTCCCCCTCGGGATCCTGCGTAAGGATAACGGACATGCACACAATTCCGGGAAAACCATAAGGTCGGTTTACTATCATCATTGCGTGAACCTAACATTTAGAATGTACATGTATGCGCAGGGTGTGTGTGACTCTCGTGTTGAGCACAGAGTCGTGCACCACCACACCTAACATGTTTCATGCGGATGGTGTGTGTTGTGCGGCTGCCTCTTGCACAACCGGTTGCCAAAACTGGACAGCTACATGGGCAGGTGCACGGAGAGATGGACACCATCTTGGTGACGCCCGTTTTAGGGTTGGCCATCGTATCGCAATTTTAGGTAATCCCCCGGTGCTGCGGAAATACTTCTAGAACATTTGCAAATAGTGCCCTTTGGTCACCACAGAGAGCACAAACCTCCACGTCCTCTGGTAGAAGCGCGGTTCCATCGTTCGCGTGTGTCGAACGCCCCAAACAGCCCCTGGGGAAGATTTTAGATCTCTCGACGTTAAACGACCCCAGAGATGCATTCGGCAATGGATTCATGCAAGAGCATCTCAAGATGCTGATAAGAAGCACCGCGCGCCTCACGCCCCCGGTTAAGGCCCCAGCCGGGCAACATGTAGTATGCGACGCAATGGATTGGTACAAGAAGATGTCAAGATGCTGATAGCAAGAAGCACCGCATCTCACGCTCTCTTTACTACAAACACCATCTCACGCTCTCCCTACCACAAAGGCCCCAGTAGGCATACGAGTCTTCGCACAGCAAACTCAGCAGAAACGAAATTACCCAGGTGGCAACATTCTGATGAAGAACATGCAGGGATCGGAAAGGTTCCGTTGACACCAATAGAGAGAGCACCACGGGGCCCCTAGGGATAACCGCTACGGTAACCGCCAGGTTGGGGGTCGTGGCGTTGATTGGGCAAGACCGTTGATTGGTCAGGACCGCGCACCTGTGGGACCGTGAGAGGTCGCAAGTGAGCCCCATCTTGGACAGCGGTGGCCGCGGGGTCATCGCGGAAGACTTGGCACGCGTAGGACTGGACGTACAGCTGCTGCAGCTCGGGATCGCTGTCCTCGTCAGAGTCTCCGTCCGCACCCGCTGCCGCGCCGCCCGGCGCCGCCTGCTGTGATGACGGGGGCGGGGATACACCGCCACCGCCGCCGTACTTGGATTGGAGACAAAAGGCACCAAGGCACGTCATTCTTGAAACTACGTAAATACGAAGTATATATGTACCCGTGAAACAATCAGGCACACCATTTTTTTTATTTGTCAGGACGACCCAACGATAGACGCGAGTCTAAGACACCTGAATGATTTTTGAAAAGACTGCCACGCTTGTTTTTTGTACCGTTAAGCATACAAGACAAGAAACGGGGAGGAGGCCTAGTTGTGCACACTACGCACATCTCCGAACCGAACAAAATTGTTGAGCACAACACTGCTGTTTCAAGTTGCATGTACATGGTTGTCTTGACATGACAAAAACAAACAGGACTCCATCAATAGAATCGACCCGACCATGGTTTAGAACTAGCACCACCACCAATCAACAACACCCGCGACCAACGACTAAAGGGCTCGCCGTGTCGAAAAATATATATGTGCCTCCCGCTCCTCATTCTCTGCGTTGAATGGAAACAATCCAAATGGTACAGATGACTTCGACTCAGTCTCACGGGGGCTGGCTTCCTTGACCAGATGAAAACGCACAAAAAGACATCTGTTTTTCTCTCATCCATGAACTCACCCCGTGGTAACTTTCCGTGGAGCGAGACTTCCCACTGCCTTCCTTCCGCACTCCCATGTTCACTAGTGTGGGCAGAGAGGGAGACCGTCGTGCGTAGTGCTGGTACGGCGGCGCTCTTTCTGTGTGTCTGTGTGTGCTGGTGTTGCGCTCTCCTTTCACAGGGGGAGACGTGAACTGTATTCCCGGTTTAGACTCCCCCTCCAGTAGCCAGCCCGCGCCCTCCTCGCAGACCCTCGCATACCTCTTCCACAAAGAGCCAGCATCGCACCCACCTTGAACCTCTCATCACACGCATCTACGTTACCAAGGGCCCTCCATAGCTACATCGTGGTGAGTGTTCGGAAACCGGCTTCCTGACTCATGTGCCCCGCTGCTGCGATCCCGATCCGAGCGGATTGCTGACCTGGATTGTGATCCTTGTTTCCCGAAAAAGTTGCTGAATTGAAAAAACGGAAAAAACGTGGCCAGCTTTTTTACTTCTTGTTGTGGAGCTCCTGCTGCTATTATAATAGTCTTTTTACCCTTGGTTGGGTTGTTCGTCAAGACCATCATCCAACACTCCCACTGCTGTCCGTGAAGGTAGGGTATAGCGGGGTGCCCTCCAACGGTGCGCGCTCGAGTGCCGTGCGCCTGATGCCGCACACATCGCCAATGCCACGTCCGCACCTCTTTTCAAGAATACTACTGTTGTGCCGGCTGTAACGCGCATGCCTCTGTAAACGTGGCATGTACTCTCCTGCCCTGGCATCACACCCTTGCCCTGCTCGCCAACCGCGTGCTGTGACCTACTGTGCCACTGCGCCAACAACATTCGGCCACCTAACAGAATGTAGCACACGGGGTATCTCTAGGAGCGCGTCTCTCGCCACGAGCGTCGCAGCGCACGCGACTTGGTGTGGAGAAATCCAACCCACATGCACCAGACGAAAACTAGGATCGTTACAGCAGTAAACGTGTGCCCGTCGTACGTGGTCGTTTGCAATGCCATTCATTCATTTGGTCCTGAACTTGCAGGTTTGGATTGGTTGAACTTGCTGCCGTTGTGGTCTTCTTTTCTCATGGCCATGCCCGGTGGTGGCTACGGCGGGTATGGCGGGGGCGATGGCTACAATCACGTGAGTTTTGATGGGCCACTCTATTTCATTATGTGCCTGTTTTCGTTAATTGGCAAGGAGTGAGATTAACCCACTTACGTTGCTTACACCAGGCATGGGCCTCTGCTCCGCTGGACGGTTATATTCCAACCCAGTAGCCAGTAGCCTTGAAAATGCCAGGAAACGAATGCATAATGGTTGATATTCCACTATCATGGTGCCTTCTCCTGTACTACGTACTTGCTGCCCCGCAGCAGCGCTGTGTATCTGTGTATCTGTGGATACAGCAGAGCTGATGTACGGACCATACCAAGGTTGAAGGCGGAATAACAAACAAGGGCAGTTACTTGAATGGTTGGCTTACGAGAGGTAGGGATTCGACGCGGCACGGGCCGGGTGGAATAAGAATACTCATATATACCACATTATTTGTACCAACATTACACATCGCATAATGTTACCCTGCTTCAAGCAGTAACCAACTCTAGGGTTAGTCTATGAATAGATGTATGCTCCTCTTCAGAAAGTCTTTCGTTCGTGCAGCTTCCTGTCCTGAAAACCTCGGGGCCACCCGCCCAACTTATGAAAGGTTTGTGTTATTTCTTTTGCATAACTTCGGCGACGGCAATTAGTGCACGAAGTATACTGTACCACAGCAGTCTACACAGCCATTCGGGGAATCAGCTCGGGTGTTGCTGCAGCCATGGCAAGGAGAACGAGAAACTTCCTGTAGGAAAAACTAAAATGTAAATGGTGTCACGTCGGGGGCTGTCGGCTGGCCGCCACAATGGATGTACTCGAGTACACATTCCCCAACGTCTGTTTGAACACACTTGGTTGTACTTGTAGATACGATCGGAACACGATGCCACACGGACTGACAGAGGTCTTGTCATGTGATTTTAGGGGTTGCTGCTATTGACGCTTTGAGGACGACGGATAACAATGACGCGTGAAAGCTAAACATACATGCTTTTGTCTCTCCAGCAACATCATACAACACTTGCTGAGGTGATCAGAATCAGGATAGATTGGGTTACGGAGAAGTGGACAGACTGGGCAGGTGCCGGCATCACCTTACAGTGTGGCTTACACTAGACCTACTACTAACCAAGCTGTCGCAGAAATGATAGCCCGTCGCCTTATGCGTATGAGCTCACGACTCGAAATCGATCGGTGAGACGTGGTGCTAGGAGAGAAACCATTTTTTTTTGTGTGTTTTCATCTCCGGTGGTTTTATCGTTGGTCGCGTCGGACACGGCTTGCCTTCATCATCATCGCCAGCCACGCTATTGACAGTCGACAGCAGCAGTCACCGCGGGCGGGCCCAGAAATCGGAACACACACGGTCCCTTACTCACTCCACAGCAGCACTGCTGCTGTTACAGTGGTATTTATGTATCTGGAGAGAGTGCTGCGAGACCATCGCTCCGACGGTACCCCGCTATTCACCTATTTCGCCCACCCAGGAGGCGTGCCGCGCAGCAATCGGATGATATGATACCGAGCTTGTCGCGTTTGTTGCGGGCTAACTACAACGGAGACACTTTTAAGCCCCATTCCATTAGGCTAGAAGAACGAATGGACTAAGTAACGGCTAAAACTGGGTCGAACAATTTATCACTTTCGGCGCTATCGTAAAGGACACGCGCAGATACGCGAGCTCTTGAATATCGGATCAGTTACGAACCGAACAGCGCCGGCAGATATTGGCGGAAATTGGCGGTTCCACACCCCGTTGAGTGTTGGTCTACTACGGACAGAAGAAGGCAGAGAGAACGGAACGGTTTTTAAGACAACAACAACGAGTACAAATACCACATTTTTGAACATCGTCATGGTGCCGAGAGCAGCATAGCAGTGGAGCACGCGATTCAAGGTCCCACAGTATCCGGAATTTCCAGCACAAGATGCTGGTGAAAGGGCATCACTTACCGCCAAACCTCACGGCACATATCGGCGTCTCCGCACAGTGTGTGGAGACGACGATACCTGTGCGATAATCTTGCAAATTATTCGGAACCCGCTTTTTTTCCGCACACCCTGTGCCAAGACCCCGATATGTGCCGAGACCCAGACATCTGCCAAGACCCCGATGATTACGGTACATTGCTGCTGCTATCTACGTTGTGTCAGCTCTAATAATATGCTGTCTGCTGCTGCTGATGTGTTGCACAGGCGTTCTGGTTTCCGGGGACACACCTCCCGCAGCCCAGGTCACAACGAAGCGACATGTATGTCCGTAGGTGTTGCCGCCCCCCGCCCCCTGATTGAAGAATTTGTGCTGACGGGTACGCGGGGGCTCCGTCCCATGTGCGGTGTAACTGCTGCTGCTGCAAAATTGTACGTCCAACATGTAGAGCAGAGTACCTACATTTACCGTCACGCAGCAGTGCCATGGTACACACAGCGAGAGGTCAACACACACAGCTTCTGTGCGTCCGAAGGTGTGCACCAGCAGCTGTGTTTTCTGCTGCTGCTGATGCGTTGTACAGGCGTTTTGGTTTCCGGGGACGCACCTCCCGCAGCCCAGGTCACAAAGAAGCGACATACCGTATATGACACAAGATAACACACCCCCTTGACCGATGTTCGAAGCTCGATTTCTCAACTGCCGGAACAGTCTTGCGCCGAAAACAGCGGCGTTGAAACCGTCTCGTCGAGAGCTTTTCGAAAGTGTATCGTTTCGTTTATACATCCTCTTCATCGTGGAGAAATTGAGCTTTGAAAATCGGTCCAGGGGGTGTGTTATCTTGTGTCATAAACGGTATATGTCCGTAGGTGTTGCCGCCCCCGCCCCCCCCTGATTGAAGAATTTGTGCTGAAGGGTACGCAGGGGCTCCGTCCCATGTGCGGTGTAACTGCTGCTGCTACAAAATTGTACGTCCAACATGTAGAGCAGCGTGCCTACATGTACCGTCACGCAGCAGTGCCATTGGTACACACAGCGAGAGATTCACACGCACAGCTTTTGTCCATCACAGCGGTGCCATGGTACACACAGCGAGGGCTTAACACACATAGTTTCTGTGCGTACAAAGGTGTGCAGCAGCAGCACCAGCTGCAGCACAAGAAGAAACACACTTGATAGAGCCAGCCTCCTCTGGTGATGCTTTGCGATGGAGCCCCTTGTACGCTAGATGTAGGTCACAG